GAGCAGTTGGGCGTGGTAGCTGAGCACCATCTAATTCTTCTGATCACAGCATCGTAGAGACTGATGTTCACATTGACCTTTTGTGAAATTTTCCACGTAGGTCTAATGTGTTTTTCTCTATGCTGTCATTATAATGAAGTGAAAGCCCACCCCTCCACCAAAGCCTGGAGGATAGAAAAGCTGTGTTTGTCCCCAGTCTCCAAACTTTACATCAACTGTGGCAGAAGGCGCTAGCTTGAACTGCTGGGATTTAGTGTCCAGCCACACAGAATGGACCTGGCATTGACCAGCTAACCTAGGTTGAATTGTAAAGAAAGAAAGCTACATCCTTGAACACCTAAAGAAAGATATATATATATGTAAATATATTTGTATACGTATATAAATGTAAAACAAAAATCTCAGCAATATAAAATTATAATAATGTCTTGAGGGTGATTGTGAGGACTTGAGAGGGCACACGACAGGAAAAGGGGAGACTTTTAGAGGGAAGGTAGAAGAAAACACCCAGATCTGAGGACTTGCTGGGACTTAGCAAGTAAGCAAAGGTAGTGGGAAAACACCCTCTAACCTTATCTGCTGGAACTGCCTAAGAAACCAGCGCCCAAAAGCTCGCAGCAGCTGCCCCCTGAGACAGACCTCTCTGGAGTTAGCACTTCAGAAGTAGCTCATGGGCTGTAGCTCGCACCCGCTCACCCTGGGGCCTCCCTGAGGGATCCTGACTCTGCTTCCTGCTCCCCAGAGACTGCTCACCCCCCCACCCCACCCCCAGTGGGAGGCCAGCCACCTCTTTTCTGGTGCCTGCTCACCCGGAGCCAGACACACACTGTTCTTCAGTCGACTGAGTGCCCTACCTCCCCAAGTCCCAGCTCCCTCACCTGTAGAATGGATCAGCAGTAGATCCTATCTGAAGAGGGGTGTTAGGAGAGTTCAGTGACACTGTGAACTTTTTCAGGTTATTGATGGCATCAGAAATGGCCGTCGGTACTGCACTTCAGCAGTAAACAGCTTTATCCTCACAGAGCTGACATTCTTGTGGGGAGACCTCAGTAAATAAGGAAATAAAATTCAATGTCCTGTGGTACTAAGGGCCGTGAAGAACTCACCTAGGTACTGGAGATTGACAAGGTGGCCAGGGACATTTTGCCTGAGGAGCTGCTATGTGCGAGTCAGCCAGAAGGGAGAGACAGAGCAAAGCTGTTGGCTTCTCAGGGAAGCGCATTCCAGGCAAAGGAAGATTCAGGAGAGAAGTATGGCCAGGATGGAATTGCAGGGCTCTACACAGGGTGTGGGCCTCAGGACCGACTCAGTGATTGGTAAAAGGCCCGCAAGGATGGAAGGCTGGGCTAGTTGCTGGGAAGACGAAGCCGCCACCCCCTCCCCCCCCCCCCAGGGTGACACCATATGGTACCACCAGCTGTTTGAAGGATTGCCTTTACCATCCTGACACTGAGGCTACTGGATTCTGGTCTCCCTCTCAGGGCCCTGTCTGACTGAATTTCCCTTTCCTTCCTGCAGCCGCCTCTAGAATGATCACCAACAGCCTGAACCGCGACTCTCCACCCAGCACTCCCCCTAGGCGGCCAGACACCAGCACCTCCAAAATCTCTGTCACCGTGTCCAACAAGATGGCAGCTAAGAGCGCCAAGGCCGCTGGTACAAGGGCTTAGGCGGGTGGAGGGTGAGGTAATTGGCACAAAGTAGTTGGGAGTCATGCTCTGCATGTTACTAGGTGCTGTGAAGGCCAAGGTGGACAGAGTGTTTGGATTTGAATCACCTCTGTGGACTTGGTCAAGTCACTGCCCCTCTCTGAACCTTTCTCTTCCCTCATCTATTGATAGGGCGTGGAGACGCTCTGCCCAAGAGGGTGGTTGGAAGCCCTGGAGGAGGTGGACTTAAACTCATGTACATTCAGAGGCTCCGCTTTGTTAAACAGCTGTTTACTGAGCCCTGTATTGGTGCCTGGCCCTGTGCTTGATGCCTTGGGGTTAAAGGTGAAGAAGCTATCGCCCCCTCTCAGCAGCCAGAGGGCTCTGACCATATCTAGTGCACCAGACGTCATCTAACTTGAAGAGGAGGGAAGAGAATCAGCCTACAGCTAATTCCTATGAGGTGGAGGTCAGACATTTCTGATCCTAACCGTCCTCCTCACAACTCTTTGTCTCTGCTGGGTCAGATTATTAGTCTCAGTGGTCACACAGAACTCACAAACCGTACCCACAATTATGGGGTTTATTTGAGAAGTAATAGGCTATCTACAATTTAGGATCAGAGTCAGTCCCAAAGTTGGAAGTTAAGAGGAACAGTTCATCAATCAGAATAACTTCTAACCAAGACAGCTCTCAGCTCCTTCTTGGCTGTGTCTGCAGGCAGGCTATGCCTCTTAGCTGGACTGGCCTCCTCTGGGCTGTGCTAACAGGCCCTTCTCTCAGCCATGCTAGCTCCTCTTGGCCTCTGCCCTGCTAGGGTCAGTGTTACATCTCTTTAGCTCTATGGGTCTGTGCCTGGAAGTACCCCAGTCCACCAGCAAGCTTTCTGCCCTCTTGTACCGTAGACCAGCAATCCTATTATAGCCATCCCGTGCCAGGCTTCTGGTTTCTGCTGCTTGTACTGCTGTACTGCCTTATGCCATCTCCAGCGTTACAGCTCTCTCTGTCTCCTGGGTGTAGGAGGTTCTCAGCATAGGGAACCTGAGTTCCAGGCTCTAGTAGGTAAGTTCCCTTCAACCTCTGTGGGATTGGCGCTTATATAAATCTACTCCTCCCATCAAAACCATGAAATGACTAGTCCCCTTGACGAGTCACCTAATTTGCTTAGCAATCGACCAATTTCCCACAAAGGTTTTACATGCCTTATTTGCATAGTAAACGATCCAGTCCCTGTGAGGATTTCACATATCTTATTTGCATAGTAAACTGCCCAAGCCCTTTGCAAGGTTGTGGCCTAGCAAATTACCTTGGAGGAACTACATACGAGGGTCAGAAAGACCATATACAAAGAGAAACCCATTGCACTGCAGTATCATACCATCATGCCTTTGTATATAACTCTCCAGGGCTTCCCACAGCTGCAATAATAAAGGCCTTACAGCACCCTCCATGAGACTTCTCTCTTCTCTCTCCCACTTACTTGCCAGCTCAGCTTCTGTCTCTGCTCCGTTCACTGTGGGGCTGTGGGCAGCGCATTACTTTATGTGGCTTTTCTAGCCACAGACTTTGTAGTGCCCACCCAATGACCGGCTAGGACTCGGCAGATGTGAGGTGTTTGTGGCCACCAAGGGGACTGGATAGCTTGCTAATAATGTAAGTAAGGTACATGGTGCTAATATGGGGTGTTGTTGTTGTTAAGTGGTGTTGGGTTGGTTCTGAGGAATGGCTGACAAGCTTGAACTGCTGACCTTGTGGTTGAACCCAATGTTGCAGTCCAGCGCATTAACCCACAGTGCCACACCAAGACTCCATCCCACACCGTGTGAGGTTGGACCATGCAAATAGGGTGTATGGAACTCTAATGTGGGCATTGGTCAGTTCTGTTCTCCTGTTGTGTTTAAAACAAGCCATCTGAGAAGCCAAAAGTGGGGATCTCACTACCATCAAGGGATAATAAGATTGTGGAGTGCACCCTCTGGACCCCTCGGTCCCCGTAGATCCCTAGATCACAGAGAACTGTGACACCAGTCAAGTGGTGGCAGCGGAGTCAGCAGTCCCAGGAGCACAAGACCGAATGGTGGGCTTCTCTGAGGCAGGCCCAGGGAGTGAGGACACTGAGTGCCTTCAGGCTGAGGTTTACTGGCGGAGTGGAGTGCCTTTGGGACATTTATCAGCAGAGCTAAAAAACCCCTTTATAACACTGCCCAAACTAGGCAGAGGCCAAGAGGCCATGTGACTCAGTGGCCTAGGACCAGAGAGTGCCGGTGGACACTGCTGTGAAGAGGTGCTTCTGACCCAAGAACTGTATTCTGAGCACTTAGGATAAGATAAGTATTAGACTGTTAACCATAAGGTTGGCAGTTCAAACCCACCAGCCACTCCTCAGGAGAAATGATGCTTTCTGCTCCTGTAAAGATTTACAGCCTCAGAAACGGGGTCCCTATGAGTCACAACTAACTCCATGGTCCCTAGCAACAACAACAGTTTCCCTTGTCAACCTCATCATGAGTATAGTCTATGAGTTCTGTGTGGCCATTTCAGCGAGTTACAAGACCCGGCAGAGAAGTCGAGAGTGACGTGGGAGGGACTGTTGGTGTCCGAATTGGTAAAGAGGTTGGAAGGCGGAGGCATGTTTCCCTCTGCCTCATAGAATTGCCCTTGGATGGATATTGAATTTGAGTCTCCTTCCTTCTTGTGAGGGCAGAGATGGTCAGAGACCGCCCCCACACCATCGTTACAGGGGCCTTTGCCCCTGCTGTGTCTTGCCTGGCACATCTGTCATCCTCACTCCAGTCATGGCCTCAGTTGCCAAGATAGGCATGGAAATCAGTCGATGGGCCTCCCAGACCCGTCCCCTGCACTTGAGCCTTTATTGGGCCCAGCCAGTCACCAACAGTCTTGGGGTGTTCCTGAGGCACACGTGGAAGCTTGGGCTCAGGAGGTGGCTATGTTGTTCCAATGTCCCTTTCTGCTCCATCACGCAGTCTCCCCTCTGGCCTGTGTGTCTGGGGGTACCTCAACCATAACAGCCTTTTGCGTTTTGTGGCCAGAGCAAGAAGGTTACACATAATATCTGAAGTATTAAAAAGACACTGAGCCCCGGAGAGACTGGTTATCTTAGTCCTTGACACATTTGAAGAGATTCTTTTAAAAAAAATAATTGAGGTAAAGTTTCTTTACGCATTATGCACATCTTAGATGTATACAGCTTGGTTCATTTTAATAAAGTGAACGCACCCACGAAACCAACCCTCAGTGGAGCTGTAGTACCTCCCCACTGACCAGCAGGCTTCTCCTGAGGGGATTCTGGCAGGGGAAGTGGGGAGGGGCTACTCCTGCTTGAGGCAATGAAATAGCCTCCGAGAGCCTGGAAGACTCACTGCAGCCTGCCGGTTCTGAGCACCTTCTTCCCCTGAACTTCCTGGCAGCTCTGACTCAGGGGGTGAGAGTTTCTAGCCTTGTGACTCCCTGGCCAGAAAGGGCATGTTTGTCCTTTGTCTGGGGTCCAGCAACTTCTCCACCCCCACATCCCCCACCCCCCACCCCCAGAACAGTCCATGGCAGAGTGTGCTGACCCACTCTGCCTTCCTCCCCAGCCACCTTTGCCATCCAGGAGGAGGAGAGCCTGAGCGCTCCCGCCAAGCGCCGCCGAGTCACTGCAGAGATGGAGGGGAAGTACATCATCAACATGCCCAAAGGCACCACCCCCCGAACCCGCAAGATCCTGGAGCAGCAACAGGCGGCCAAAGGTACTGGGCCAGAGACTGCATTTCCTTCCTGTTCTACCTCACAGGAATTGGCTCTCACGGGGGCCCAGGGAACCTTGGACATAGGTGGGTGGTGGTAGTGGCTGTCGAGAAGGGGGACTTGTCACCTCTGCCCCTCATCTTGCAATCAGTATAGTTGGGCATCAGTTGATACCTCATCCCTGAGGAGCAGGGAGAGGAATTCAGGGAGGTCTGCCTGCCAAGTGGGTAACTAGGGCCTGTCCCGCCCAGGCAGGTGCCCAGGAAGTTACAAACCTCAGGGGTCTGGTTGAGACCCAAACCAAAGCTGGGGTTTATGACTGGGGATACGTGCATGGCCTTCCTAGCAATAAGATTGTTTTAGAATGTAGTAGATGTTCCTGTGGAAAACCAGTTAGATGACACAGAAACACACACAGTCACCAACGTGTCCCTCAGCCTCACGTCCCACACCTGTTGTTAACCTTTGCAGAACAGTGTCTGTGAACTGATCGGTGGCTGTATCTGTGTAGGTATGCATAGTGTATCTTTCTTTTCAAACGTTAGTAACATCTTCCTATAGGTATATAGGAAGGCGCTCTGGTAGCATAGTGGTTACGAGTTGGCCTGCTAACCGCAAGGTCAGCAGTTCAAAACTACCAGCAGTTCCACAGGAGAAAGATGAGGCTTTCTGCTCCCATAAAGACTTACAGCCTTGGGAACCCTATACAAGGTAGCTGTGTGTCGGCACTGACGCCACAGCATACTACCACCACCACAGGTATAGGACTCCTGGTGTGGTGCTGTAGGATGAGCACTTGACCATAAGGTCGGTTTGAACTGCAAGGTCGGTGGTTCAAACTCATCAGCCAGTCCTTGGAAACCGTATACAGGGTCTCTATGAGTCAAACCAATTCCATAGTGCTTAACAACGACAACAACAACATAGGTACTGCTGTGTCATGTTTTTCAGTGCATCTAGTACATCTTTAAGGAGCTCTGGGAGCGTAGTGGTTACAAATCGGGCTGCAAGCCGCAAGGTCAGCAGTTCGAAACCACCATTTGTTCCATGGGAGAAAGATAAGGCTTTCTGCTCCCGTAAAGATTAACAGCCTCGGAAACCCTGTACTGGGTCGCTATGAGTCCGAACCGACTCCACGGCACTTAACAACATCAACAGTACCTCTTTAGTCCTGGTGTGGTGCTGCAGGGTAATGCACTGGACTGTAAGGTTGGTTTGAACTGCAAGGTTGGCAGTTCAAACTTACCCGGCTCTCCATGGAAACCCTATACAGGGTCGCTATGAGTCAGAACCGACTCAATAGCACTTAACAACAACAACAGTACATCTTTGGACTCCTGCTGTGGCTCTGTAGGAGAAACACTAGATTCCTAAGCACAAGGTTGACGGTTTGAACCCACCAATTGCTATCAGTCAGAACTGACTCAGTGGTACCCAGCGAGAAGTACATCTTCAGGCCTTGTTTATAAAAGCAACTTTGTTCTTTTCTCTTTTTTTTATTGTTGTAAAAATGCAGATAACACCAAAAAATTCCAGTTGACTCCAACTGAATTGTGCTAAGGGGCTTCAAAAAGTTCATGGAAAAATGATGTTGAATTCTACTTTTCCACGAACTTTTGAAATCCTCTTGTGCACCTGACAAATGTCACATTGGCAGATGAGTGTATACACTCTCCACCGGACATTTGGCAAGTCAGCATTTTTTCCCAAAGGTACAATTCTCTGCTTCATTCTTTTTTTTTT